AGTCTCAAAATCAGTGCACCATCGACTACATTGAACGACAGCATGGAGTGTGTCAGTTGCTCAAGCAGTTGCTTCATTTTGATTGTCGATTGGCGGCCCTTGTGGCTGCTGTGACAACACTGTACAAAAGAGACGAGTGCACGGGTCGAATTGCCAGCGGCGGCAGTGCACATTAATACTAGGTTGCCGATTGTTGCCGGAGTGGGCTTTTGCGACCTGGTGGGGACTCGACACTGGAAACGAACTTAACAAAATATATCAAAAAGTGTAGTCTTCAAACATGCACTTCCAGCTGGAATCTGGTGAAACCTGGCTGGTGCGACAGTACGCGTCAAGTCAAGCTGCTGCGACAGCTGTCGGGGGAGCTGCTGGGACGGCAGCCTGCGGAGGGACGGCAGCCTGGGGAGGTACGGCAGCCTGGGGAGGGACGGCAGCCGCTGCTGGGACGGCCGCTTGGGAAGCTGCTGGGGCTGCAGCCTGGGCAGTGCGTTTTGAGTCAGTTCCGATCGCGAAACCATGTCAATGCATGGATCTCGCCTCTTCCTTCGGAGGCCCCCAGTTCTTCTCTGTGAGCTCCTGTCCAAAGTGCTTTGCAGGGAAACGAATACAGAGTGAAAGGCGTTCTGCATGATTTGTTCAACACCGCACAGCCGGCAATATCCATCACAGCGCAGAATCTCGGGGTCAGAACAAGTTCTTATTTTCTGTCCCCATAGTTCCCTTGATAAATCTTGATAATCACAATCGGCCCCTCCTTCATGGGAAGGTGCGGAACCGAGGGCGTCATTTCGTTGCCGTCCCCCTGTGTTGCAGCTGCAGTGGGGATTTTCTTCACGAGATGAATGCGGATGCCCTGCACCATTCGCCGCCTACCCATTTCCATAGTAGGGCCCTTTTTTGAAGAGCGACCTGACCCCCTGCTCCAACGGCAAGCCCCAAAACATTCCTTAAAATGTAGGTAAATAGGGTCCCAGGTTGGGCTTTTGGTCAGGGATCCGACATGGCTAGAGACGATTACGGGCAGACGAGGTTGCCTCAAACAAGGTAAGAACCTGTCAGCAAGTTCCCGGCTGGAGGTGAGGAATACTAAGCACGATGCTCTGCCGGCCATTCTTGCATCTGCGACAACCCTAAACACAGGAGTTGAGGGCTGGAGGGTTGCAGGTTGTACGGATTAGAGCTTGTTGTGTAAAAAATCTTCGTAGGGACTTGGCTGAGTTAACTTACGGGCTCTTTTTGGGTGAAGGTGAAGGGGTCCACAAGAACGCCTCATGTACTTCAGTGGGGTTTGCAGCCCGAGGAGGAGGAGGAGGAGGAGGAGGAGGAGGAGGAGGAGGAGGAGGAGGAGGAGGAGGAGGAGGAGGAGGAGGAGGTGGGACAAGGCGCCACAACAGTGCAGGCTGAACAAAAGAGGTTGCGACCTTCCCACCGCCCACGGGAAAAGCGACAAAGTCCGTCCTTGCAAGCAATGTAGTGTGGAAGCTCTCAAAGGTTTCAAGTTCATCCCATCCTAATTAAACCCTAAACCCTAAACCCTGAACCCTAAACCCTAAACCCTAAACCCTAAACCCTAAACCCTCATCCTAAAAAACACTTGTTGTGCCCAACCACAAAGCTCCAATGCCCAAGTCGTTCTCTGCGTCGGACGATGCCACCCCCGGATGCAAGTCCGCAAGCTCGGAACATGCACAAAGGCCCTTCGAGACCCCCCTCTTTAAAACCTACAGAAATGGTCTTAGGCTGCTGCAGGCCTTTGGAGCTTCAGATTTTAGAGAGGTTGAGCATTTAGGGGGTGGGTTCATGGGGCAGTTATAGGTTCAGAACCTGCAAATCGAGTCATGGCCACTTCGACTCACTTTGCATGTGCTTTACACACCTAGCTCCAGTAAAAACTTCCCATGAGCCTGAGGGCTTAGGAATTTCGACGTCCCAAAGACCCTATACCGTTTATAAGCCCAGAGACGCAAAGCTCTCTGAGGCCCGGGCTTGAGGTTCATTGGGTTGAAACAGGCCAAGCCCGTCTCTTTGCCTCTGCAGTCTACAGCTCAAGTTGAGGTCTCATAAGGCTCGGGCTTGTGAGTATGGCGTAGACTTGAACAAAAAAGGCACCCGCACAGCTGGAAGAACCGCTCAGGTTTAGGGTTTAGGGTACACCTCTACTGGTTGCGCTGCACCGAGAATTCGCCACTGGCAGAGCTTTGACACTCAGAAGCTGAAGGGTTTAGGGCTTGGGGTTCGCGTTTCGGGTTTAGGGTTTAGGGACGATAGAAAGAGGGCAGTCTATGCATTTCTGAACCTACGAGCTCCCCTCACGATTGTCGCCCAACGGATGCCTGAAAAACAGCCATACCCGGCATATGAAAGTGCATCCGACAGGGCATACTTGGCAGACTGCCTTCCTGAAGCCTCCGAAGCCTGAAGCCCGAAGGGATGAATCGTCCAAGCCGCAGCAAGTGGTGGCGGCCACGCGGTGGTTGAAGTTTCCTTAAGCTCCGGCTCGGACCGTGGCGAGTGTGCGCACAGCGCGTCTTTAGAAGCTTGTGCACGCTCCCGCCCTGCCACCCGAGGGACCTGAACCCGGAAGCGAACCCCAGACGCTGAAGCGGCAAAAACAGAGCACTAAACCCAGAGTAGCCATCAGAAGGACAACGGACCCACAAGCAGGGCCCAAACCTGAAACCCACGCGGAAACTGACAAGCCCCGAGCCCTAAGCGCGCCTAGACATGTGCAATGACGAAGGAACACGGTGCACCAGCATGCAGATTGTAGATGTCTTAACCCCCTGAGGCCCGAGCCATGCGTGAGAATGGAACACTTCTTGTAGCACCTGGATGCACAGAGGGGATTTGTAAGGGCTTCCTACAGTACTTTAAGGGAGATTCTAGGGATTGGGGACACTACCCCTTCAGCTTGCTCCGCTGCTGTCTGACGTGGTGGGGCATCGGGAAGGTTCTGGGTTGCTGAGGACTTCGTGATGTTTATACTTTCGGGTTTGACCAGGGTTTAGGGTTTGGGGTCTAGGGGTTTGTTTTAGAATCACTTCATGGTTCATGGGTGGTTAGACGTAAGGTTTCGGGCGCAGGCTCCCTAATTTGGGTGCTGTTTTTGGCATCTATCATAGGGGGTACCCATAAACGGCCCATTTCTTGGGCTAAAACCTCATGTCAATGTGAGAGCGCGTGGGTAGATCTTAGAAAGGTTAAAGGATGCTGAAATTAGGCATCATAAGGAACGCAATAAGATATGAACCTGCAAGTATCCGACCCGCCAAAGATGCAGGCCATACTTTTGCATGCCTCGCGAGCAACAGGGGCAACCTCCTCAGGAGGAGCCACAAACTGACAAGCGATCCTACCAACAAACTGAAAGCTTGCTCTGCTAAATTTAAAGTTGTTTCCTGAATTGCCTGGTCGCGCCTTCCAGGCAGTCAGACTGCCAGTGGCCTCTTTTGCCACACCTGTAACACTTGTCACCGTATTCTGCCAAGGCCCAGTCGGGGTAGACCTTTGAGTACGTGAGGCCCTTGCCCTCGACGAAGCCGGCTCGCTGCAGGGCTGCTTTCCAAGCGCTATCATTCTCCAGCAAACGCCGGAAACTTTGGCGACCTTGGTGGATTTTGTGCTGGGCGTCCTCATCCAGCATGGCCATGTGGAAGTTCAAGGCCGTTGGGCATGCTTGGCACAGTTTGCGGTCAAGCCAGTTCCGCAAATTAGTGGCCGTCATGTCGCTCAAGCGGTCTAGCAACTTCAGGCCAGCAAGAACCGTGACACGGCTCAAAGCTACGTAGCCCATATTCGCTTCAAGAACTTCGCTCACATGTGTCGCTGCATAATGGAGAGTCATTCCTTGCGCCTTGTGCAATGTGGTCGCCCATGCCAGCGCCAGCGGCACCTGCTTTCGTGTTGCGAGCCGCGGCCCACGGACCTCTGCTTGGATGGAAGCACCGATGCAGGGCTGCACCGTAAGTGTGCCATGACCTGCAACGAGCTCCACGACGGGCCACCCGTCCTCATCGAAGTCGACGACGGTGCCCTCCATGCCTCGGTGCAGATGCCTCTCGTTCCGCACATGGGTGAGGCGTACAGGTGCCCCGATTTTGAGCACCAGCGTGCTTGGGCATTGCTCCTCCAAAGCCTCCCTGAGTTGCTCCTCCAAAGCCTCCTTGACGTCCCTTCTGCTCTCGGGTGCTACTTCATCGATTTCCGAAGCAAAAGTGTCCTGTGCATGGAATGTCTTCGGGTCGCCATCCAGTTTCTTCAGCCTCGAAGCATTCACCTTATCCACATCGTCGTTCTTGGCATAGATCTGCAACCACTCGTTGCCTCCTTCCCGGTTTGATGCAGTGAGGAGAAGCCTGATGTCCTCGCCATTGATGTAGCCGTACCGCAAGCGATTGAGGAAACCATGGAACACCTCATCCTCACGCTGACGATGTACTCCGCGCAACGTCTGCATCTGATGCCTCTCTGGAAACAAAGCGCTCCAGCACCGAGCCTCGAGCGTTTTGATTTTTGCGGCAAATTTGACATGTTGTGCCGATTTTCCTCTCACATCGTGCTTGGTTTGTGGCCCTAGGGTCCGTGTGTTGATAGGCAACCTTCTTCGTCGACCACCTCAACTTTTCGCTACGCCCTTAGCAGACGACCTCTTTTGCCCTGTTCTTAGTCAGACAAACCTCTGTTTCCTGATCTCTACTTCTATGTCCTCTCGTGAGGAAACCTCTATTTATTCTTACTTACGCAACAGTTTCAGCACAGGCCTGTCGAGTACCGGGTGTGTTTCATGTGATTCGCGGGTCTCGCTTGTGAAGCGCAAGGGGATGTGAAAAACAAATGCGCTGCTTGGGTTGGTTTTGGCAGGTAACGGCTGGTATGCTGCAAACATGCTGGACCTTCTGCAACAGAGTCAGTACAATTGGATCTGGGTTGGCTTGTTACAGCCAGGGAGGCTGCTGTCAAGACAAGCCTTTCCACTTACCAGATGCTTTGATGGTTTCAACAGCCTTGCTTTGTGAAGCGGAAGGAAAGGTGGACAAGTCAACGGCCACCTTCCTTGTTTGGGTTGGTTGTGGAAGGCATGATGCCAACGTGCCCGATCACAAAGTCTTCAAGACGTGGCTTGACTTTTGGCTCTTTTCTGGCCGCAAGTTAACGACCTGACACCAAACTGACGGACTGACTGAGTGCCTACGAGGTCGATGGGCTCAAACTGACGGACTGACTGAGTGCCTACGAGGTCGATGGGCTCAAAATCCTACGAGCGGACCGTCGGAATGTCTTCAGGACCCAACCCCCCAACCAGAAACCGCAAATAAACAACAAAACAACAAAAGTACGAAGAAAGAACCCACCCCCGCGCCTGAAACGCAAGCTGTTTGCATCGAACCGGCGGGATCTGCATGAAGTCACCGGCAAAGATGCAGCGGATGCCCCCAAAGCAGGCCTTTGACTCTCGCACCAGCCGGCACAGCTCCTCAAGATGATCTAGAACTGTTGGACTAAGCATCGACACCTCATCCAGAATCAGAACCTGCACGCGACGAAGTCTGGCAAGCACTTGCTCCTGGTCTGGCCGACTTCGTATGAATGCTAAAGCCTCTTCGGCTGAGTGCTCCAGCTTGCCAACGTTCACCCCAGCAAACCAATGTACAGAGGTACCTCCAATCCTGGATGCGGCCTTCCACGTCGGTGCTGCCAGCGCGATGCTCTGCTCTGGAAGGTTGTCCTTGAGATGCTGCAGGAGGAAGGACTTGCCAGAGCCGGCTTCTCCGGTCAAGAAGAGGTTCTGCCTCTGCGCGATCTTCTCAGCATTCCGCTGCCACCTGTCCAAAGCCGGTTGAGTCACGAGGCGGTGTGCAAGCTCGCTCCGTAGCCAGCCGACGGGGAGGGGTGCGGCTGCGGTCTGCCATGCGTCGATGGCATGTCGTCTCAGCAGCAGCGCAGCCGTGATTCAAAGAACATCTACCGGAAAGGACCCTGGTTGCCTTCCTTGTTCTGGTTTCTGTGAGCTAGGACCAAGTTGGTACGCAAGGCTGCCCCATGATGCGTTAAAAGCAGTAAACCACTACCAGCCCAAAGACTGAACTATGTGTGCCCGCCATTGCAGTGTTCAAAGTCATGTCGCAACAACGGCTGACACTGCCTTGCCACATGAACACTCAACCCCGACTGCGCCATCCTACTGCAGCCGAAAACGAAAAAAACAACCCGAGTTTACGCGGTTTAGGGGCCATGGTGGCCATGGTGTCAGGCTCCGTTTTGAACAACTAACTTGGGATCCTGTTCGTTGTGCTGTCCCGGAGGCTTTCAGCAGAGACAGTCAGTGTCAGCGTCTATCGCAGTTTTGCAAATCTCCTGAAGCCTAGACTAAATCCCTCCACAAATTCACCAGCTCCATGCTCTTGGGGCCCCGCATGCCAAGGAGCAGCTCTTCATCCTGCGCACAGGGTCTGTAGATGATGGTTTAGGCGAATTCAGCCCCATACAGCTACAGTGCCTCAATGATAGGGGGTGTAAACTTCGGATGTGCAACTAACCACCATAGAACCATGATAAGAAAAGCGCTAAGTCCACAGCCTCGCAACTGCAAGTCTAAACCTCAAAAGCACAACATCCGAAGTCCCACGCAGGGTTCGGGGTGGGTCCTCCAAGCAAGTGCCCTCGCCATGGGGACAGGCCCCATGCTGGCCGTGAAGAGCACCGGAGACATCAAATCCATCACAAGGCCTGGCGAGTTGGTATAGTGGCACGTAGCATGCAGAGCGTTAGTGTTACTTGGAAAATGACCATGACTGTGCCAGCAACGATTGAAGGTCAGCAAGCTCACAGTCATGCAGACCAACGAACGACCCAGTTGAAAGTAACGCTTCGCATGCAGAGCAGGGTTTAAGGTGTAAGGTTCGAGAGCTGGGTGCAGCGTGGGTGGGTGCAGTGGGGGGGGGGGGGGGGGGGGGGGGGGGGGGCATCGCAAAGGTGACTGTGTGCGCACATGCATCTCGGATGATTTCCGCAGGTGTGATGCGCTTGATAGCCGACAGCGAAGCCATCATCTCCCCCACACCCTAAACACTGAACCCTACGCGCACGAAGAGCCATGCAACTTGCCGGGCAGTCGACATGTTGATCTTGGTGTTGTCGAAGCCGCATGGCTCCGACTCGCAGCCTTCAGTTATTAAATTACAAATCAAATAAAAACATATAAAATATGTATTTGTTTATGTTAACATCGTCTTATACATATATATATATATATATATGTATTATATGGTTCAGCCCCGGCGGGGCCCCCCCCCCCCCCTACCCCCCCCCCCCCCAATGGTCTAGACTATGGTACTATACTACTATGCTCTTCACCATACTGAGATGCCACGCCTGCCACTTTGCCCCCCCCCCCCCCCCCCCCCCCCCTGTGGTGTGGTTGGGGGTTTGGGTTTGGGGTTTGGGTTTAGGCTTTCTTGTTAAGAACGAGGGTTTAGGGTTGAGGGTTTAGGGTTTAGGGTCTAGGGTTTAGGGTTTAGGGTCTAGGGTCTAGCGTTTAGGGTTTAGGGCTTAGGGTTTAGGATTTAGGGTTTACGGTAGGGTGTTGGGGTTTAGGGTTTAAGACGTTAGGGTTAAGGGCTTTGCCTCCCCCCCCCCCCTGTGGTGTGGTTGGGGGTTTGGGTTTTGGGTTTGGGTTTGGGCTTTCTTGCTAAGGGCTGACGGTTTAGGCTGTAGTGTTTTAGGCTTTAGGGTTTTAGACTTTAGGGTTCAGGGCTTTGCCTCCCCCCCCCCTGTGGTGTGGTTGGGGGTTTGGGTTTTGGGTTTCTGCTTGGGGGTTTGGGTTTTGGGTCTGAGTTTAGGCTTGCTGACTAAGGGCTGACGGTTCAGGCTGTAGGGTTTTAGGACTTAGGGTTTTATGCTTTAGGGCCGAGGGCTTTGAGTTTCACGCCTTCAGGATCAGGCTTCTGCAGACTCTGCTGGTATTTCTGCTGTTGGGGTTAAGGGTCTTTGGGGGGGGGGGGGGGGGGATACCATGGGGGGGGGGGGGGGGTGGGGGGGCGCAGGACGCCCGACGCCGAACCATATATATATATGTATATTATATCGAATACTAGATCTTATACATACATATATACATATGGATAGATGCATGCTTACTTCTTCTCAATCCGGGAAATGGGCAAGGCTCAAATGACTCAAGCTTGAGGCCCTTGATGCTCTGCGATACCAGTATGCTTTGGACACGTTTTTCGGCACCTGTGCGGGGGATGCAGAAGCCACGCCTGAAACAGACTCTTCAGCAAAATGAACCTTCATGGGGCTCTATATAAGGAAGTTCGGGCACTCTACCGGACGACGTCAAGCAAACAAGTTGCAACAAGAGCCTAAACCCGAAACCCTAGACCCTTTTTTCGAACCCCCAAACCCTTTTGAACCTGAAATCCGCTTCATGGCAGGACTGAGGCCCGTGCTTAGTCATGAGAGACCGGCAGACCCATAAACTCATGAACCCTAGGCCTATAACCCTGAATTCACAGGGTTTAGGGTTTAGGGACTTTCTTGGCCACCCTCAGCGTGTTAGGCTTAGGGTTTAGGGTTTGGGGTTTAGGGCTTAAGGCCTCGCAAATCACGAAAGCAAGGCCCGGTCAGGTGAACGCGCTGGTTCGAATCGGGTGCGTGCCCTGGGTAGCCAGCGAGCACCTCAGGGAGGTGGTGGGGGTCTCCTTCATCTGGATTTCTGGGCGCAGGTGTTACACTACAACCCCGAAGTCTTCTGGGCGCAGGTGTTTCACTACAACCCCAAAGTCCGAAATGCAAAGAGCGTTTATCTGTGGTGTCGGATGATGAAATTACGTCAGACTGCGGGCTTGTTGCTGCCTCTGTTATGTTTCCCCATTGGTATGCATGAGCATCGGCTGACCTCTGTGGCCTCCAGTTCTACACAGTACTTGAGGAGTCCATCGTGCAATCCCGACGTGCAACCCTCAAACTACTCAAACTACCCCTGTAAACCCCCTATGCAAAAGTCATTGACTTTGCAGCTCGAGGCTGCTGCTTGAGATAGCACAGGTCTTCGAAGTACCTTAGGCAGGTTTGCAAGTAGGTTGTCAGGTTCGGGGGCTTCAGGCTGCTGGGGGCTTGAAATTTTGGGGTGGAGAGGGCAATCGATGGCGGGGTGCTTGTGTTCGATGCAGACCTACTTCTTTAAGCTACTTGTCGGCCAAACCCTGGAGTGGTACTTATATTCCTTCCGCATCTAGAGCTGAGGGCAGTGCTGCTTGACTTTTTCTTACCTCCATGGCTGCCTTCTGCAGATACTTCATGGGTAGCTATAAGTGGGGTTATAAGTAGGGAAACTATACGTAGTCATGGCTGGCTTGTACGCCGATTTGGAACTACCCTAGAACCATGATGTAGGGTACAATAAACCCGACTTGGGGGGTTCCGATACTAGGGGACCTTATTGGGCTCCTTACTATAAGGGAATCCTACTATTTGACGTCTATATTGGGGGTCCCTGATTTTCGTACCCGACATATAACTACCCCCCATGAACCTTCAAAAGTAAGGGCCGGGCTCCTCATCATCGCCGCAGATGTTCCCATCGTGCATGTTCCTTGAATAAGGGGTTTTTAGGTTTAGGGTTTAGGGTTTCGTTTAGGGCTCAGCGGCCATCAAGGGCTCAACGCAGCCCTTTGCAGCCCCAAGTTTAGAAGCCCACGCGCCAGAAATGAGGGTTTAGGGTTCAAACTTCAGGGCTTAGGGTAACTTCCACGACCCGCAGGCCCTACCATCCAAGCCGTCGATTGCTTGTTTGGGGGTCTGCGGGTTTGGTATTGATATGGGGTTCTTAAGGGAGGGGGTTCATGGCTAAGGAGTAGTGGGGAGCGTTAGGGAACCTTGGGTTGCATACCCCCCTTGAACCTCCCTCCCTTTAGCAACCCTATCAGATCGGCAGGTGGCCGAACCAAATTCAGAAACAAAAGGTTCTTGCACAACCAGATAGCGCCTCGTGTCGGATGCAAGCTGGCAGCACTACGTAACCAGCCTTCCTCGGCATTTCTATCGTCTACCTACGCCTGAAGGCGCAAGTTTCAGCTTAAAAGGTCATGGCTTGTTTAAGGTTTAGGCTCTAGGTTTTAGGGTAATCCGAGATGGATGACGAGGATAAAACTTGCAAACCCCCCCATGCGGTCCAAACAATGAGGCTTGACAGCACAGTGCCAGCGACGAGGGCATGTTGTGGCGTGAATGTAGTCTGACTAAACCCCAAACCAGCACAGCATACGCCTATGATCAGAAACTTCGAACTTCGAGTCAACCTCAGCTATGGCTTACCGGCAGCTTCACTCAGCCGCAGACTCTTGAGGGGCCTGTGGCACCTGCGGTTTAGGGTTTAGGGTTTAGGGTTTATTCAACTCGGAAACCGGGGGGGATTTCTGCATCGTTTCAGGGTGCGTGCTCCCCAAAATAAGCCCTGTTGTTCTAGGGGCGCTACTAAGCTCCATAACCGAGTCCGGAAGAAATGGCAAAATAAACTCTCTCTCTCATAAACCCTTTTTTTGCATCCAGGCCTCTCATAAACCCTAAACCCTAAATCCTAAACCCGTACCCAGCCTCTGCCGAGACTGCCGCCCCTCCTCGTGGCGCCTGCCCTGGCATGTTAATAATCATAAGAGGGTTTTAGGGTTTATTATAGTAGAAGTACAAAGGGACCATAAGGGAAGAAAATGAGTAATTAAAACCTGTATGGCCACACTCTTCCAACAGCTCATGCCCGCTGAACCTATGAATGGGTTAGTCCCACATCCTTGACGTTGGTTAGTATAGGGCATGTATATACAGGGGGGGTATAGCGTGCAGTACCTCATTCCCTCATTCCCTACTAACCAACCGTAAGAGTCTGCATTTCACAGTTTTGTTCGCCGAGTCTGCCTTGAGGTGCATAGATGTGCCCAGCTCTTTTGAACTCATGTAGGGCCTGAGGTCCGAAACCAGCTTCTCCAAACCTCACCTAGGGGTTTAGGGATGTTCAGGGTGGCCTATAGGCCAGCCGACTTGGGCGCTTTTCAGATACTCCGGGAGCTAAAATGACCGCATTGAAGCTTGATCCATCAGGACCTACCGTCAATACCTTACACCCATCATTTTCGACACTGACCTGACACGTCAACCTGCAGCCTGCCGCATCTGATTCGCTCATCCAACACATTCCTCCAGTCCTCCCCCCCACCCCTCACCCTCGTGAGCGGTTTGGGGTTTTAGGGCTTGGGGGTTAGGGTAAACAGGCCAGCTGGCCGTTGAACAGCCAAGTGTCGAGGTGCTGGCGGAGTTGTGTACAATCAAAGGACGACCACGCCCTCCCACAAAAGCTTCTCTCTCCCTTGCGACAAAAGACATCGGGGCCTCCTAAGCAACATCAGTTAATGCTTCACTTTCCCTGCCGCATCGACGGTCACGCAAGGCAGTTTATCCACATTGTCGGTATTTGCCCTCATAGTGTTAAGGTGCCTCGAAGGGCTATTCATATCATATGAAGCCGTGATAATCCTACTTGTATGCCCTGGGGCTTGGGGGGCTTTGAGCTGCTTTGTTTACACCCACGAACTGTGGAGGCTGCTGGCAACACCTGAAAGCAGGGCCTTCTTGCCTTTAGCAAGGGATGGACAGGCGAAACTGAGGTTTTCAATAACTGTCAATAACCCTAAAACCCTACACCCTAAACAACTCCAGACTGTCAGTTTTCGTTCCGGACTCTGCGCAGGGCGCTCCGTCTGTGCTGGGGTGGCGGATTTCTTGCACAGCTTCCACAAAGCTCTCTAGTTGAGGCTTCAGGGGCTTAAGGGCCTTAGACTTGTGGGGGTTTTAAGAACGCCTGAGCGCTTGCCAAAACTTCGCATGGTGCTGAGGCTTGAAGGGAGCTGGGGATTCGCCTACGGATCTGGAATCTTAGAGGAGGTTCTGGGTCACAGCCTATGGCCCCTCAGGGCTGAGGGCTTAGGGCTTAGGGATACAGGGTTTATAGGGTCGGGTATAGGGTATAGGGTTCAGGGTGGAGTTTAGGGGTATAGGGTACAAGGGCATAGGGTGGAGTTTATGGTATAGGGTCGGGTATAGGTTGAAGTTGCGAAGCCATGTGCGGGATCCAAACAAAATCTGCAAGTGCTGGCTGCATGGTTGACCTTGGACGCTCATGGTCAGCTACAGTCGAGGATCATGCCTTCGTACTATGCAGACCAGGGCGAGGAAGCAACCAGCAACCATCGAAGGTGAGACAGACTGCTTGCGTCTGTTCGGAAAGAATGGCTCGGGCTTGTGAGTGGCGGGCGTTCTGCTTCGAGGATAGTCGCCTTTGCTACGTTTTTTTACGCGAGCTTGACAGGCATGTGTGCCATTGTGCCGGCATGAAAACGCATCCTGTCCACGTGGCTGCGGCTTCCGAACTAAAATCCGCCGTCATCGAGCCCCAGCTCTACATCCTACTAACTGGAACCCTACACAATGCTAAAACTTGTGGAACGCTTCGGTTAGAAGCGTTCATAAAAAAGGAGATACGCCTCCTGTGACACTACGTCGGACTCGCTGGCGGGAGTGACCCGAGCCTCAGCAGACTCAGGACAATGGTTGAGCCTGTAACCCTAAACCCTAAACCCTAAAGCCTAAAGCCTAAACCCTAAACCCTAAACCCTGCCTGAACCCAAAACCCAAAACCCTAAACCCTTTGAAAGACAGCGCCCCAAGAGAAGCCGAAGAACCTCTGAGTTGCCTCTTACCGATAGAGCGGCCCACACGGAAACGTGTTGAGACCCTTCTGGAACTGCCGGAAAGGGTAGGCATTGGACTGCGGTCACTTTGGGTTTAGGGTTTAGGGGTTAGGGTTAGGGTTTAGGGTATACAAGTCTTTAGCTGACGCGGTCAGTAGCATTCAGGCCAGGCGCGTCGTTGAACAAGTACCACTTCTTGTCGGAGCCCTCGCCAACTTTGCAGTAGGCAGTGTAATGTCCGAAGGACAGGCTTCCGGTGTGGTTCACGACGGCGTAGAGGCGGTATTGTTCTCCTGGCAAGATTTTGCAAGCGACCCGGGAAATCTTGAATGGTACCGATTCATTCTTGCCGACACAACATTCCCATTGCCGGTGCTGTCAGCCTGGAAGAAACATAATTCTGCACACCGACGTCCTTCCATTTGCGGGCCGCCCGACAACCACTGGGACAGGTCCAGCTCGAAGGGGAAATGGACAAAGGTATTATCCTGGCTGCGCGATCTCTGCAAGATCGTTTGTTGGTCGGAAGGCTGATAATGAGTCACCGCGAGAGCCTTGGAAAATATGATCTGCAGGGAGCCAGTAAGCAGCTGTCGGGCCCGCCCGGGCCTACTTAGAGGCTCAGGGAACTTAGGAAATCAAAACCCTTTAGAATAACCTGATGTGCAACTTATACGTCATATCCCCTACTTCTGGCCTAGACCCCTTTTGACGTGGGGGTCATTCGCGAAACCCGAGACGACTTCAACATTCAAGTCCACCCGGCCTTTTCAATGCTGGAGGAGTCTGCCACAAAACGCTTCAAGTGGATGATCCTCGGAGTGGGAAGCGGCAGGAGCTGTTCGTGTCCGTGCATCGGAAGCCCCTTGGCTTCGATTGTATGTAGCAGCCTTCATTTGGGGGGGGAGACTTGCGTGATGAAGTTCGATGCCTTTTCTGTTTTTTTCAATTCGGGCACTGTTCTCTCAACGAGCACGAGCGCCCTTCACTTAACCGTAGGAGCCTTTATGAGCCTCGAAGTAGGCTCGCACCATTCTGCTAGCCTGATGTTTCTTCATTGCTTCTCAGTGGCAGACACTCTGGCGCGGTCCAGAGCTCAATCTTCTTCAGGGAGCGCTCGCGCTGCTGGGTCTGATCACACCAGACCCAATCGTCTTGGCAAAGCTCCTCCTGTTTCGAATGAGCGGTTTTCTAAACATGGCCCCCAACAAGGGCCATGCTGAAGAATCTAGTGGCACTGCGCAAGTCTGCGTGCGATCTTACTTCGAAGGCTCGGAACCCTCAAGCCCCTAAGCCCGCAAGCCTTACTTAGAGCCCTCCGATCAGCCGGCGGCTCCTGTTTCGAAAAAGCGTTCATGCAGTCCTCCAACGATCGCTCTGTGGGGGCGTCGTCTTCCTTGGCGGAGTCTTAAACCCTTATAGATATGACAGACATATCTACACATCTCTATATCTATGCTGTTTAAGCTTTGACTGATACTTCAAGTCCCCTCGTGAAACTATGAATGCGGGGTGAACTCAACCCCAAAGAAGCCAATTCCAGGTTCAGGGATGAAAGGCTCCTACAAGCACTCCGATGCTTTTGAGGTCTCGGAAGTCGGGAGCTCTGAGATGCTTTAGGGCTTAGGGCTTAGGGCTTAGGGTTTAGGGTTTAGGGCTTAGGGCTTAGGGTTTAGGCATGACAAGGTAGAATTTCGGATTTAGGAGCCTTTTCAACGAGCGTTCTCCAAACCCTGGACCCTAAATGCCGTTCAGGCTTTCGACGAGCTGTATCCGCCCTTGCTACCGGCTGCAGCTATGCCCTTTTTTCAGCCGGCATTCCGAACAAAAATACAGATCCCCCTTAATTAGCGCGGACGCATGAGGCGAGCCCATCCAAGAGGATGAGAAGCAGGAAAGCACGTCCCGGCCACGATTTGCGACATCGAGCGGTTTTGAGTCTCAAAAATAGCTCGCAAGGTGCGCAGAGGAAAGCGTGACAAAAACGACGAGAGCGTCTTGCTGACCGAACATGAGCGCGGCAGAACCAGCCGCGGGCGCCGCGCTTGCGCCTTCAACCTCCTTTCTCTTGGAACCCCATAGTGCTGCCATAGGGTTTAGGGGTTTAGGGGTTTAGGGTATGAAGTCTTTCCCAAGGGTCCTGCCCCGGGATGGGTAAAGTGAGGTACACCATGGGCTCGAACTTCTCAGATCGTGCGCCCACGTCGCAAAAGGTCGTGGTGGAGCGCACCTGGAGGCGGCACGCCAGGCTCTGATGGGGGTTCGGGCTATCCAAAACCCCGAGCCCGGAAAACCCTAAAAAGCCCCTGAGCTCCATGGAAACCTCAGATGGCTTCTGAATCATGTCTCCGAGTCTGCATGTCTTCCACTTGCCAGCAGCCATATCAGGACACGTATGTATGTGTATATATATATATATGTGTACATGTGCACACATAAAGAAACAAGTGCGTATACAAAAGGCATTTGAATCTGTATACGAGCATGTATGTGCAACCCGTAACGTGCAAGTCATTCTCTAGGATGCCGCAGAAATTAGTAAGCACGGCCTCCTCTTTATAATTTAGGAGGCGGAGGGAGCATTGGCAGCTGGAGACTTGACGGGCTTAGTAGGTGTAGGATGGTGTAGGGGGGTCCGGTCATGAAGGTCGCAACACCAGGGGGAACCGGGGATTCTTAAGAAAGGGGGAAGGGTCTTCTTACGCAGCAGAAAATATATGCTAAAAAAACTGCTCCGCTGCTGAGGCCAGCTACCTGGCCCTAAACCCTAAACCCTAACATCCTAACACCCCAACACCCTAAAACCCTAAAACCGTACACCTGGAAGTGAAAGATGTCCATGATCTTCGAGTCGGTCGGCTGTCGGGCAATCACCTCCTGCGCAGGCAGACTTAGCACTTTGACTTTCGCATGTGGGATATGGGGAAGTTAAGGGGATACCTTGTTGGGGTTCTTATTACAAGTGACCCTGCTATTTGGGGGTCTATATGAAGGGTCCCTTGTTCTCGTAAACCCCCATATGGAGCCAGGTGCCATGTCCAGGTGAAACTTGACGCACTTGGGCCACAAGACTCACAGGACTCCTCAAGCCTATACAGTCAAGGGAATGAGCAGATTTGGAGGCTCCGGACCTTCCTGTGTCTATACTGGAAGAGTCGCACCATCACACCGCGTTCTTGGTGCCAGCTTCGGTTTGATCGCCAAGGCGGGTGAATGGAAGTTCCAAGACGCAACGGAACTTCTTTTTACTTGGTTCCTGATGCTCAAGACACGAGGCATCGAGATGCAAGAAGGTCATGCTAGAAATGCCAGAAACATCGGTTTACTCACTCATCCGAACCATCCCAGCTCCCAACCCCACCAAACCGCGCCAAGTCCTGCAAAATACACGCCCCTCCCCTAAAACCCGAAACCCCAAACCCTAAACTCTAAACTCTCAACCCTTAACCCTAAACCCTTCCAAACGAAGGAACAAAGCCTGCGAAAAGCCGGCGTGAGACTCGGCCGACTCGGCCGCCTCACTCGACGAGGACGAGGGCGTGCGTTTCCTGGGATGGCTTCGAGGGGCTTTAGGGTTTGGGGTTTAGGGCATCAATCATCCCTTATACTGTCTACACGTACACAAGGAGGCAGGGCCTCTCTTCAGGGAGTTAGGAGGCAAGGCCCCTTTTGAAGGCAACCGCGAACTCCACCTCAGTCGGTATAAATTAGTATAGATCCGTGCAGGAGGGAGGGCCCTATCTGGCAGCAAATCCCTCCTGTTGCCCCCGAATCTGATCAGTTGGCTCGGGTGGAAGATGCTGAAAGAGTTGGGGAACCTGCAACCAAGATGACCTTGGAACCGCTTGTTTCTCTGCCAAGGGTCACGTCTTCGTGCAGGCCATCGAGCAGGAACATCAGGAGTTCCTGAGCGTCGTGCTGCCTGTAGCCCGCAAACTGGCTCCACTTCTCCGAGATCAAGTTGCGAACCTCGACTTTCGATACCGTATAGCTTGTAAATAGTCCCTCTGCACTCACCAACATTTATCACGATCCATATATGGGTTTAGGGTTTAGGGTTTAGGGTTACTCACCGAAAGCCTATAGCGACCTCATAATGTACAGCATGTCACGCGGAACTGCTGTCTGGATCGCTCTGTCTCAATACCGGGACTTCACTTGACATGCTGTTGCCTTGTCGCTTACGTGTGTACAGAACTACTATTTGCTTCAGAACCCCAAAAGAAAAACAATAATCCCGATACTACCCTTGAGAGGGAATGATATTTTCTTTTTTGGAGGGTTCTTCAGCAAATCGTAGAGAATGGCCTGCAAGCCTGCTGGAAAACTACAACCTTCGCCCACTCCCGAATCCCGAATCTTGCCCTAAACCCTAAACCCTAAACCCTAAACCCTAAACCCTAAACCCTAAACCCTAAACCCTAAACCGACCAGGCCTCGTGTGGCTTCACTATCCGGAACTCGTTGCCCCAAATCGAGCGAAGCAAGTTGGCGAAGCCGTCCGCCAGGCGCCCTTCGACGCTTCGTGGCTCTCTCCCGTTTTGTTAATGTAGGGTTTACGGTTTGGGGTTTGGGGTTTGGGGGTTTGGTGTTTGGGGTTTAGGGTTTGGGGATTTTAGGGTTTAGGGTTCAGGGTTTCGACTCTCACACTTGCAGATGCTGGCGGGTTTAGAGTTAAGGGTTTAGGGTCTGGGGAAGATTTCTAAAAGACGTAGTCCATTCAAGAGCTTGCCACTCTTGGTTTCGGCATCCTCGTCTTCTTTTCAACTGCACCCCGAATGCCCCATTCCCGTTCTGGACTTTCAGGATTTCCCCCTCCCCCCCACCCCCCCCCGCCCCGCCCCCTAAACACCCGAAAACCAAATGACATCCTAAACCCTAAACCCTAAACCCTAAACCCTAAACCCTAAGCCCTAAACCCCGGAAGCGCCTCCCATGCTGTCGGGTGTGCTGCTGATGTCCGCCTTGTAGTGGCCGTCCTCGTAATACCGCCGCAGGGCCACAGTGTTAGACAGAGCCTGCAGCGTGGAGTTCAAGTAGCACCTGCGTGGCGAGAAAAAAAGTGGAGAGTTAAAAAAAAAAGTTGGTTCCTTTTGGGGGCTTATTAGAAGGCCGCCAATATTATTTAGGGTACCCAAAAGGGACCATAATGTAGAGAACTGACCATGTGCTGTTGCAGCACTGTTCCCACCCAGCCCCTCGATCCCAAACTCCGGTGTCTCGCCTAAGCACCAAGCCTTGTTGGATACATATCAGACGGATGCCCACACCCCTCCCCTTTCCACTGCTACACCCCTACAGGAAGTTCAGGGAAGCTCACCCTATACTCCCCTTAGAACCTTAACAAAAAAAAGATGCTTAATATCCTCTTGGGTTTTATATAAACAAAAATAAGAAATCATTCCCCAGGGGGATATGGCACCTGGCAGCCAAGGTGCGTGTTCCCCAGGTTGAGCAGCCCGCAGGCGCCCGGGCTCTCGCAGGTACCACGAAGGGCGCAGACCGCCTGCGAGTCCGAGGAGCCCTCGCCCGGCACGGTGAGGCGCACCACGAGGTGGAGGGTGTTCCTAAAACAGCTTGGAGGCTCACGGGTAGAAGTGGGGTGAGGAGTGGAGTAGTTATAGAGTAGATAGATGGAGTTGTAACTCTTACGTAGGGAACTTGTAACCCTACTTATAACTACCCATGAACCTTCAAGCAGGGTCTCTTGGACCCCTGCTGCCCGGAGCCCAAGCCCCTCAACAGTTCATAGCAGAACTTTCACCCTGAAGGCTGCTGCAGCGCTTCTGTTAAGGGCCCCTCCAAGCTCAAGAAACCAACAAAACAACCTCCAGGCTCGGAAAATTCCGAAGGCCCTTGCTGAGGATGCAGGCTTGCTGTTGCGAAAGGGCTGCGGGACCCCAGTATAAGATTAGATTAAAAGGGAAGAACAGGTCGTCCATTTTTCAGCGCCTGCAGCCCCAGGGCTAGTGGGGGCTTTGGGGTGCTCGGGTTTCTGTTGGGACCTTTTTTGTCCCCCGCCCCTCCCCGGACCCTGAATTAAAAAAAAACCAAACAGTTCCCGACCCTGGAAAGGTCGAGGCTTCAGGCTTCAAGTATCTCTCCTTCTCGAGAAAGCTTATGCCTTCCTGAAAACCGAAGGACTGAGCCCCCCCATTAAAAAAAAAAAAAGAAACAGTCACGGCCCGAACACTTTTCATTCTAGTGTACCCCCAAAACAAAGGGCCAACATCCTGAATAGCCGAATTTTTGTTCGTACTAGCGTCCCCCTAGAATAGTGCGGGTGCAACATTAAGGGCAACCCCAGAGCCGCACTCCGGACCCCCGAACCCTCACAAGCCAAGTGAAGAACAAGGAGGTTTAGAGTTCGGGTTTTATGTGTTCTTTTTTTGGCTTTTGTTTGGGTTTAGAGCTTAGGTTTGGGGACGGATTCTGGCAACAGCAAACTCCACAAACCCCAGAAAACCCTTTTTTACACCCCAAACCCAAACCCTCCAAACCCTAACCTCCCGCTGCCCTGCAGTTGCGGCGCCCATCTTCGATGCGGCACTCAGAGACAGTTGCGGAGTCCTTGGTGAACTCACCAGCCGCCCATGCAAGGCCCACCCAAGTGCGGCGGTCCAGCACAAGAAGCCGTCACAAGGCACCTGAACCCCACCTGAGCCCCAGAAGTCCCCCAAGCAAGCCCAAGAACCCTTTTGCAACGGCCTTTGGGTATGGCCTGACCCTTTTTTGCCCCACTTAGCTGAAGGGCCGGGCTCCCATCTTCGCCCGGCCTGACCCCAAACCCTCAACCCTAGGCCCAACATGCACCGCCGAGAGGCCGAAAGCTGCTTCCCTGCAAAGACCAATCGCTGCTTCTCCTGGTTTTCGGGCTCTTGTCATGGCTTTGCAAGCCCTGGAGCCTAAACACCTTGAAGGTTGCTTCACTTCGCTCCATCTCAGGATACTCACAAGACAGCACAAGCCAAAAACATGCAACAAATCATCACCCCGGTGGTAACCCATAAGCCCTACAAATCCTAAACCCTAAACCTGGCCAGAAAGAGCTTCGATTCCCCATAAGCCAAACCCCAAAATCCTAAAGTCCTAGACTCTCAACGCTGATCCAAATTGCGGCGCCCTTTTTGGCACCAGTAATATGAATATCTATATATATATATGTATCATAACTAAAGCAAATTCTATATACCACTGAACCGCCAGCACGGCCAAATATTTAGACCAACCCCGACATCCGAAACCCCTCCTGCGAGCAATCTGCCTAAAGCCAGCCACGGTAAGCTTTAAACACTTCCGCACCAAGCTTGGTGGGTTCCCGTCTGAGTGGGGGCGGGACTAGATCCTAGTCCTGGCCCTCGCCCTCACCCTCCAAGAACTCCTTGAAGGTTCAGGGGTAGTCATAAGTAGGGTACATAGGTACCTTTAATGAGAGTTATGACCAGCTATAAGTATAGTTTCCCTACTTATCACCCACTTATAACTACCCATGAACGTCCAAGAACCCTAAGAACCCAGCCCAGTGACTGCAGGGACGCTGGCGCGCTTCGCGATCTGCGCCTTCACCTTCATCACAGAACGGAGGCGTTTGGGGTTTAAGGGCCGTTCTGAGGGGTGTGGTTGGGGATGTTCCCCCTTATACTGACAGTCCTGAATAAGGATTAGAAGAGGGGGTACTATAATCCCTATGTTGCGGGGTCCCCCAAAAACTTCCACCCTGCATTTTCCGGGCACCTAAGGCCACAAGGCTGCCGGGGGAGCAGGGGAATTTCAGACCAGGGACTTGGGAACCCTAAACCCTAAACCCTAAACCCTAAACCCTAAACCCTAAGACTGCTGCACTGCCTGCCTGGGACGAAACCCATGCCAAATCCTAAGCCCTTAAACCCAAACCCGTGCTCTTTAGTGGCTGGGGTATGGCGTCGTGCACCCAAAAGGTTGCGCACGCTGGTGGTAGGTGCTGTCTAGTCTAACTCAGCTAACCTCTAATAATTACACCAAAGCTCTGCACATCTTCCTATGTTGCCGCCAACAAAGTCACAAACTACCAAGACGAATGATGCCTAGGTGCTTCTTGTATGGTATCTGCAGGATTCACGTCGATCTCGAAACTCTGCCCACTGAGAACCTTCACCTTGGCAGATGTACACGCAACAGAAAGTACCAAGCTCTGCACCGTTGACAGATCAGCAGCTGCCAAAAACCCATTCGCTGTGCCAATGGACGCAACAGGAGGCGGGGGGGGGGGGGGGGGGAGGAGTCGCTTTTCCAAGTCTTCCAGTCGCTTTACAGGGTTTTGGCATCAGGCATCTGTGCTTCAGGCTTGGCTTTGGAAACTTTCAAGCTTGCAGCCGATGGTGTGCTCCATCAACTTAGGCGTCGATTTTTAAGCGTTCCGATCGTTTTTTTTTACAGGATTTTCACCATTCGTGTCCGCCCATTGCTTACTTGAATGGAGGGGGGTTTTGGTGCTTGCTCAGATGACGATGGTTACCGGGATGCTCCCCCCCGAATATGGCGGGGCATCCATGGTAATTCTACGCTTAAAGCATGGGCCATATTTTGTGTGGCAACTTGTGGTATCTTCAGAGGTAGCTCAGGTGTCCACCCACCGAGATTCACACCGAGCCGCTGTGACGCCGTAGGTGGGGCCCGGCTTCTTTGTCCGAACGACGCAGAAGATGTTGCCCTCAGGGGATGCACATTCATGGTACACAGGAGCTGCTTCGAGCTGCTTCGTCAAAGTTGCTCCAACCCGAAACCCAGGTGTGGGCTGATGGACTCTCGCATGGATTTAGGCTTTAGGCCGGCGCTGGTTTGTGTGTCATGTGCTTGGGAGAACTGAGCCCTGAAATGTCCTGAAATGCCCTGAAGGCTGCTCAGGCTGCTCCGCACAGCTTGTCACGTCTGTGATTGATTGCAGACATGTCCGCTCGAAGAGTCGGTCGAGGTGTGAACACACGATGCTTGGTGTGCAAAGCAGGCCTGAATGTTGCAGTCGCCTAAGACTTTGTTCACGTCCTGCAGCTGCTGTCCCGCATACCTCTGGTTGACAAGATTCGCCAGTGATGCCAGGTGTGTGTGAGTATAGCCTGATAGCTGCAAACTGCCAACAGGAACTTGGACAAGCCTCACAAACCGTCCACAACACTGAGAAAGTACCCACCACTAGAGATCAACCAGAACACGCGTAAGTACCCCCCATTCGATCCCACTAACTCAGGGCAGGTGGCACGAGGACCTGCTGGTCTAGAGGCACACCGTGAGCGTCCTCAGGGTTCGCAAGGGTTGAAAAAGGTGCAGGCTGCAGCTTTGGGTTCAGAGCCCCAAAAAGTATTGAACATGAGCAATAGTATTAGTACAAATAATAATATTCATGATAATGAGAGTAATAATAGGAATGATAAGAATACTAACAAGAACAAGAATCATAATGATAACAATATGGGGAGGGGATGTAGTGTGAATGTGCTTATCACTCCTGGATCTTCTCCTTCAGCTGACCAACGGTGTCGCTGCAGTTCACGCACATATCGTGCCTCGGGGGGGCGGTGTGGGCACCACAATGCCCTCTCAGCAACCCGGGTGAGACCCGGAAGCCTCATCACCACTTGGAGGTCCATGGGTAGTTAGAAGTGGGGGGTTACAAGTGGGGGAACTATACTTAGAACTGGTTCTTTCTCTTGTATTTCGGGTACTCATAACACCATTTATGACTACCCATGAACCTTCAAACACGTGCCAGCGCAACAAAAGGTTGAGCGGGAAGTCCCGTTTCCAGACGGTGCCCTGCATGTTGGTTGTGCAGAAGTCCTCTAGGCGTCGCCGAGCAGGGCAGGGCGCGCCCGGCAACCCTACGTCCGTGTCCCCGCAGAGCCCAGGGTACCTCCGCTTTACTCGACGAACCTGCTCTATCCTCTCCAAAGCAACCGCAGCCAGAACGATCAATTGCCGCAGACTTCGTTCGTACTTGCCGTGGCTGGCATGCTAGCTGCGTTCCCCAGCCTGACAGCAAGTTCTTCTACGCCATCCTCCATTTTTACCCGCTGTGCCTAAACAAAGCCGCCTTCACATAAAACAGCGGCGCGAAAAGTGACCCTAACTCGCCTAGCTGACCAAATCAAACAGGTGCAGTATGGTGCAGTCATGCAGCCGCCCCCCATTCAGGAACCTTGGCCGGACAGAAGCCTAGAAGGCTACGAGGCTACCTAACCCCGAAGCCCTAAAGGGGCACTCACAAAAGCAGTGCCGGACTACGCCGGACTGTGTTGATCCCACACGACCAAGGGTCTTGCTGGAGGCATGAAATTAACAAAACAGCACCCAATTAATTCCAAAGCTACTTTCTTAACGAGATGCTTCTGTTGTGTCATTTGATGCCTATGTCTGCCCAGTGAACACCTCATGTGTCATTACCATCTCGCCGGTCAGAGGACGTAAGCATGCACAGTGCAACCTGGACCATCGTGAGAGCCCCTCCAATGACCGGAGCAACAGCATGAGTTTAGGGGGCAAAACCATGGCCCACCTTTGTACAGGGATGAGATATTGGGGCTTATCCCTTCTTTGAACCCAGGCTCTGAGCTGTTGCTTATCCCTTTGCACAGGCTTGTCCCAGCGCGCCTGGTCGAGCTCGTCGCTCTCGTGGCAACTAAGCCTTAAACCCAAAACCCGAAACATGGAATCAGGCAAGCCACTGGATGCACAGAGTCATCTGAGGCACAACCTGCAGCATTGCGAGTACCCAATGCTAAAGAGGGCCATTGCCGACACATCTATGCAAAGGAGGGAAAAAGGCACCGGTCCCTACTGAACTTGCCCAGTTCCCAATATGGGAACTGACAGGGACCTCTTTTGAAATGAACAAAGGGGCTTTGCTTCAAAGTCAGTCAACGTTACTTCCCCGACAGCTAAGACGACCATGCTTGTCAAGGCAATAAGGGAACTTCAGGAACAACCCTCGGGCACTCCGAAAAGCTCGCTTTGCGCCTTCACCAGGGTGATCATGTGTTCAGACTCCTTAGCCAGGATTTCATCGAAGGGCGGCCATGATACTATCGCACCCTGAACCCGAACACCCTTTCACCCGTGGCAAGCACTGTGTCCCATAGCACTCGTCGCAGCGCAACAAATGGTTTTACGGGGCCATGGCTGCTGCAACACTAGACCCAGGAGTAAGCTAGGAATAAAAAGGCTGCCCGGGTACCCTTTGTGGTTTTAAGCGGATTATCAGGGAACCCCAGCAAGCAACCTTCTTACAAACCCTTCCAGCGTCTCGACCCTCGCAAAGAAGAACCTACGGCTTTCCAGACCCAGTGTCAGACAGAAACTCAAAAGGTTTCTGGCCGTCTTCCAGGCGCTGGCTTTGAAAGCATAGCCTCAGCTGCTGCATTGAAGTTAGTTTCGGAATGTTCCATGTGCGCAGTCGTTGTTGCTGCTTGACGTGTTCCTCCTACTGTCTGAGTGTTTTGGGGAGCCCTTTGTCATGACACAACCCAGACCCAACCCGGCACTCCCCTAAACCCAAACCCTAAACGGTGTGTAGGAGCTTCTTAGCGCAGTGGGCTGCTCTCAAACTCACCTCCGGAGCGACTGACCCTCTCACAACGTCACAACAGTGTGGCATGTCACCACTCGAAAGCACCATAACCGGCCGAAAGCCAAAAGGAGGTCGACCACACAATGCTCAAGAGCTCATGCTCTAGACGCGCAGCTGCTGTTCGGCCTCTGGGATATCGCAGGACTCGAAGATGCGCCTTGCCCCAAACATAACCAGAACCGCAGAATACCTCAAAACCTAAATAACCCCTTGGCCAAGCAGGCTAAAGGCAGTGCCCCTTTTAGGCTAGGTCTCTTAGGGTCGCTGTGGTAGTACAGCCCGCTTCTTCTCTTTCTCCCTCCCTCTCCCTCTCTGTTTCGCCCTTTTCAAGCTTCCAGACATCCGAGCCCATGTTGCGACGGGAAACTGTTTTGTTCAAATCAGTTCCCTAGATTCAGACCACCCTGTCAGAATTTCATGTAACTGTAAAACAGATGGGCTCAAGTCTCCCCAGAACTGCGACCACCGTACACTAAAGGCCCCTGAACCCTATAGCCTATACCCTCAGAGCCAGGACAAACCCTATACCCTAAATCCCTAAACTAAACCCTAAACCCTAAACCCTAAATCCTAAACTTTAGGCCCTAAGCCCTAAACCCTAAACCCCAAACCCCAAATCTCTAATGTATACCCTAAATCCCTAAACCCCTTTTTTCTTTTCTAGCCCCGAGGATCCAGCTTTCCGGTGGCGGAACTCCCGATCAAGGCCTCTTCAGCTGCTCCGTCGTGTCTGCAGACGTCGCCTGGTTGAGGGTTTGAGTTTAGGGTTTAGGGTTTAGGGTATAGGGTTTAGGGTTTAGGGTTTCACTAGGGTTTAGGGTTTAGGGTTTCACAAGGATTTAGGGTTTAGGTTTGCGGTGTCCTTTATGACTTTTGGCTAGGGTTTGTTCGGTGTATCGGGTCTAGGGTTAGGCTGTATGAGGTTTAGGGCTTTTGGGGCACAAGTCAGCGATCCTTCCCACGATTCATCGACGCTGGCCCAAAAACTCTTGAACCCTAAAACTTGGGATGTTCCCCCTTGTACTAACAGCAGTCCTTAATAGGGATTATAGTACTCCCTACTAGCGTCCCTATAAGGAGCAGTGAGTATTGGGGGGGCAGCCATAAACCCTAAACCCTAAACCAACCTAAAGCCCCAACTACACCCTGAGCTGCAACAAACAAATCTCGGGGCGGCCTCCAGCTTTGAGGTCTCGCCATTGATCCGCTGCAAGATCACAGACACCTTAGTAGGGTTTAGGGTTTAGGGTTTAGGGTTCAGGGTTTAGATCATAGACACCTTGTGCCGTGGGGCATTCTTAACTGTAGGCCGACTTTAGTCTTTCTTAAGTTTCTTAATGTTCGCAAATCCCCAAAACACCTCCGGTCCTGGGGCTTCAGATAGGGCTTCGGGTTTCGGGTAAGGGTCCAGCAGCCGCCAGAATACCCGCGCGGCGCCGGACCATCCGGACTGAAACCCTATGTGCATAGCCCCTAGGGTTTAGGGTTTAGGGTTTAAGAAATACCGACGGAAAGACCATACGAGCGACACGCTTCCTCACTCCCTATAGGCTTACACCCCTAAACCATCAGATCAGAACAACCCTAAACCCTAAACCCTAAACCGTAAACCCTAAACCCTAAACCCTAAACCCTAAGTAGATCTAGGGATGTCAACCCAGGGTTCGACCGCGCGGCAGGTTTCGGCCCCGACACCATCCTCTCTAGCTCCAGGGTGTCCTGGTTTAGGGTTTAGGGCAAGTTTAGGGTTTAGGGTTTCTGCAGCACGGGTTTAGGGTTTAGGGTTTAGGGTTTAGGTTTAGGGTTTAGGTTTGAGGTTTGAGGGTTGAGGGTTGAGGGTTTAGGGTTTAGGGGCTTTTCGCGGCGGTAAGGGGGGAGTATCAAGGCAAAGGACTACGATGAGACTCGTCCTCATGTAATGAGTCATGATGTTGTTCACTGAATCACATGATGCGCAAAGACGACTTGGCAAGTCACAAGCAACCCATGCAGCACACTTGAATTAGCAAGCAGCCACATGCGGATGGCACAATTCAGCGGTGTCCTGCGCTTTGATGTGGTACCTCAGAGACGGTGGTGTGTTGTGTCATGATCGACCTGCAGCTATGCCTGGGCCAAGCACCAGTGCAGCTAGGGTCTAGACTGCTGGAGTTTGTGGGTTTGCTTCTGCTTCTGAGAGGAATCGCCAAGGAACGCGGTCAAGGCGTGGCCGTCGGAGAGCACTGTTCCAGCGAAGGACAGGATGTGCTGCTCCGGAGGGATTCCCTCCTGCCGATGGGACCAAGGTCTTTTTAAAAGCTTCCAACGATTCGCAAATGTCTTCGCATATTGTTGGCCTGTGCTGTCATCCTCGCAATTCCACTTAGTGTCTACGCTCTCCTCCTTGTACTAAACCCTTTCTTGCGGCAGTGGTGTTTGCCAGGCTATGTGGCAGCCAACAACATAATGAAAAGCAATACGTTGCTCCCTCTGAGCAGTGACTTCCACAGCTCTCCAGCCCAACTTGGGCAAACTTCACGGATGCGCGCGATGGAAAATCCCGTGCCGCGCGGTCCTTGCCGCAGATTTGTTCCTTCACAGTGCCCACCTGGGCGTGGCACGCTGCAATGTGTCATAATGTAGCCTAATGAGTTCTACGGTTTGGGTTGAAACCAGCTTTCAGCTGTAACAGAAAGGGCTCCTGATGCGCAAAATCTCTACTGCAAGTAAAGTTCCCAATGCATGTTGTACCTTATAACCTTGCCCTTTGCGAGCTACTCTTCTTCAGTTGCCTTTTGTTCCTGCTGAAGCCTCCATCCTCATGGGGAGATAACGCTTCGCTGTCGAAAAGGGGCGAACGGCGTGCCGAGCCAAGCCGCTGTATCAGTTGCCTCCACTTCGAGCGGCGGGCGCTTGCCCGTACAGGTCTTCACAAAGATCTGCATGGCTCGTGGGGTCTTCTCGAATTCTTCGGGGGCAAGCCTCGGATTACCCCCATATACAACTATCTGTTCTGGTTGCCTGGCTGCAACATCGGCGCTAAGGATCCAAGTTGTCACTTATACATACCGAATGGAGGTATAACAAACATGCCGATCTCCATGTCTTTTTTTTTCAAGGAGAGTTGGACATTATGGCTGATCACACTGTCGCCCATCTAAAGCTACAGGGCACAGGCACATAGCAGCCCAACTCAGCGTGGCATCTCATCATGTCGAGTACATAACCTCTCCTGTGAGCCGAAGCCGTCATGCAAACGGCAGGTGCACGACCACAACTACAAGTTGCAGGAAAAAAGAGTCTTCGCTAGGGTAAGCCTAACCTCACCCGAAACCCACCAAACCCTAAGCTCTAAACCCTAAACCCTGACCCCAAACCCTACCCTTAAGCCGTTCTCAGGTGCCCGTCTTTCGACTGTGGGGCGGCTGTAAAGCACTGGAGCTGGCTGGAGGTACTTCGTCGAGGCGCGAAATTTTTAAAAAGATCAAAACCGCATGCCCCCCCCCCCCCCTCATCCCCTTTTCACCGTTCACGTTGCAAGTGTGAGTAGCTTTGAACTTGAAGCCGGCGTTCTGCAAGTAAACACGCAGGACGTAGGAGCAAAAAGGCCTGCAACAAGAAATTGTAACCTGTAGACCTGCCCCTAAACCCTAAACCCAAACCCCAAACCCTAAAGGCCGTGACTGATCCCGGCGCAGGCAAGCTGCCTGAAACTCGCGGTTGTAACTGGAACGTGTGGTGGAAAGACGTAGCATGGCCACATCACTGTATACCACAGACCAGAAACTGCCCGAAACCAAAACGGATGAACGAAAAAACGCATAAAACACAGCAAAACCATGCACCGATAGAGTCTTTTGCTTTACGGCTTGAAGCCATGTCCTCTGAATGAGTGCAAAGCCGTGCCTCGTATTTCTTCTGAAGGCCGAGCAAGTTCACGGCCTAGCAGGATGCAGCTTAATTAGCAAGATCAGGCATGTTAATTAATGGCTTTTGTATTCAGAGCAGTAACAGTGTGAACATGAATACAGTTGATAGTATTTCGATCAATCACACGAACAAGATTCAACAGAACAAGACATAACAAGACTAGGAATACGAGTATTGAACGTAAAGCATGCGCAAAAATTCATTGCAATTAAGAACAATAATAGTCTTCATAAGAAAAAGGAATTTATGAGAAACATAATCAACATTAATGATGTTCATGTTATTACTAATATGAATACGAGTAATGGGAACACTGCTAGCTGCTAGCAATATGAAAACACACACAAACACAGACACGGACAGACAGACAGACAGACAGTCAGACAGACTTACAGACAGACAGACAGACAGACAGACAGACAGACAGACAGACAGACAGACAGACACACACACACACACACACCAACACCAACACCACACAGAGGCGCGCACACACACACACACACACACACACACACACGCACACACACACACACACACACACACACACACACACACACACACACACACACACACACACACACACACACACACACACACACACACACGCACAAACGCACGCACGAACTCATAACATTGTTTGCATCCGGGCCATGGTGTCCTGGCGGAAACTCTCAGAACCCTCGGCGCAAGCACATTTTAAAACAAAAAACACTTCTTTTGGAAATATTCATAAGATTGATAGTTGGCAAACATGATATTCCTATAATCCTTAAGAAAGTTCTAAATGTAGATCATGAATGGAATATAGAATGTTAAACATATGGGTGAACACCTGCGGACGACTTCTTGGAGATTTGCACGCCAACACGAGGCTTTCCGCTAGCTTCCCAGGTCTCGCATGCCGCAGGTCAAGCAACAGACCTCACTTGGCCTCGGATCGCGCCGATGAAGACTCGCAGACCAGAACAACCACTGCCTGAGCCGCACACGTTTCTCGACTTATCCTGACACCCGACATCGGACACACAGATGCGAGGCTCTGCCGCAGGGTATAGATACCTCAAGTGGCCTCTAGTAGTTCCAAGGTTGAATCTACTATGCATTTTGAGACTTGCCTTGTCTGCTGCGGTAGCTGCGGCGGCGGCAGTAGCCCACCCCAGATCCCAGAACTAGCACATCGGGGTCCCGGCACAAGCGCAGGCACAAAAAGAGGCGACGGCCGAGGCGTACCGCAGCATTCGGCTGCGAGGCACCGGACCTCGAAGAATGCAGGCAGGGTCCCAGTGTTTATTGAGGGCTTAGGGTTCAGAACAGACTTCAGGTTCCTTCTTGCACTGACGATTTTCTCGGCCTGAAGCCCTGCTTGCCGATCTCTCATGCAAAAAACACTGCGTCTTGGCCTTGACATCCCACTTACAACAGGGACCAAACAATCAACCTTATGCATCCAGGCCTCTTTAAACATAAAAAAAGATATGTTCTTTCGACTTATCTTCTTATATACGCATCTACATAGATGCAAGTAGACAAACCTAAGATTTAAGAGCACAACACAAGCCTGTGGTATGCCAAGGCTATGGCTTCCCTCCTCTCTGGGCGAAGGATGCTCAAGATCCTGGTCGGGCTGTGTTCGGATTTTCCCGCATTGTCTCGGACGAGCGCGAGGCTTGGGCGCCAGCAAGAAAGGAAATTCAGGAGCCGCACGCTGCAGCTAGCTGCGCACTACTTCCAACCAGGTCTGACGTAAGGCTTGGGGGGGGCTGCAAGTTCTGCATCTTAGGGCGCTTTTGAAACCGGTCCAGGGCGCAGGGCTTAGGGTTTAGGACTCCAGGTTTCGTAGCCCGCTTCTTGGGGAGGTTCCTGAAGGCTGGGCTCTCTCTCACAGCTTGAGGCACGCACTTTCCTTTTTGTTGCTCCAGCGCCTGCAGCTCCTTTGTGGCCCTAACATTCGCAAAGCCAGCCAATGCTGGACATTCTAAGGATCATGAAGCCTCAGGGCTAACAAGATCCAATCTTACTGCTTTGATTCACAACTACTACGATGACTTCCACAATCAGTATAGAGGAGAACCCTAAACCCTAAACCCTTCTGCTCCGTAAATCTTACTCTCCTTTGACCCTCGGCGCGTGACTTGGCCTCTGATGGATTCCAGGGCGTTTGGGGTTACCACAACATGGAAAAAACACAGCAATCTTTCATTTACATATCCGCTCTTTTCCCATATGCTGTTGTTGGGCCTGCTGGATTGCTGCATACTGCAAAAGCCCTTCCGCAAATTACCCTGAGCTGGATCACTTCACAACCCTCTGGCGTCGACCCCACGCCCACTACCCGGTCACTACCCGACGAGCAAGAACCCCAAACCCTTTTCCAGCTGGTTTATCGCACCCTAAACCCAGAAGTTTATTAAGCCCTAAACCCTAAACCCCAAACAGGAAACTTGTGGGGTGGGTGGGGGGGGGGGTGTAGCGGGGGATCGCAGCCAGGCTCTACTAACCCTGTGGACGACTACTCTCTCATGAAGTTTTCTTAGTCACGCTCTGCCATTGCTAGTCATAATACTGCTACTAAACACTTATGTCATGATACCCTAAACCCTAAACCCTAAACCCTAAACCCTAAGCCCATGTTCTTGTTGCTCTGATGGTTCTTGAAACGAAGCTACAAGGAGCTCGCAGCGCCCTGGAGGCGCACACAGGTGACCTGCTTGCGTTTAGGGGAGATTGAATGTCACTATATTCTAGTTTACTGTTTTCATATTATATATATATACACTTTTTTTTTTGGGGGGGGGGGGAGCGGGGGAAGGGGGGGGGGGGGCTTTCTCATGCACATTGTGGCGCGCTAGGGGTTGGGAGAATCAAGTTGAGAAGGGTTCGGGCCTGGGGGAGGGGCGCGCTCTCAGGAATTTTGCTTTGCGGACCATGAGAAAAGCAGCATGGTGATGGCCGCACAAACCTAAATTAACCTTTACGGTGCAGGACTCAACCAGTACCTGCACTCTGCTTAAACGGCCTGTGCGCCAGCGAGCCAATTGCCAAAGGCGTAGACAAGCAAACGTGAAAAAAAAGTGCGTCAACTCCGTATGTACGTATACATACACCGTGCCATGAAATGTTCTAAGCCGAAACGCTAAGCCCTAACCCCAAAACCCAAACCCCAAACCCCAAACTCAAAACCCTACACCCCCACACCCCAAGCCCTCTCTCTCTCTCTCTCTCTCTCACACCCCAAGGCCCTAAACCCCAAAACCCTAAACCCTTAAACCCTATAAACCCCAAACCCTAAACCCCAAACCCTAAGCCCTAAACCTGGAGCAGGCCAAGGAAGGCCCCGACACCTTGAACGGCTGCCGAGGTGCGGCTGAACTGCCCTGGAGGTGGCAAACGGCCCCAGTAGCCAGGTCCTCAGCTCCGCGAGACGCTTTTTCTTCATCATATCGCAATATGCATGTGCACTTTTGTGTAGATAATTTTATATAGAAATATATCTGCAAAAAAAGCAAAATAAAACGCATATAAAAAAATTAACCAAAGCATAAATATAAATATAAATATAAATATGACTGTAAAAATTATTATACATACACATACAAATATATATATATATATGTATATATGTATATTTATTTATTTATTTACATGTCATGTTTGTGTCGGGTCGTGCAGGCTGATGGATGCTGATGGCGTGGCCTTGGCATCCACAAGTCCTGCATATTGTGCGATTGGCCCGTGGGGCTCGGATGTTCCAAGTGAGGGGCCCTTGTGCGCATTAATTAGGGTCCCTTTCTTGGGGCCCCTATATTATACGGCACTCTTATCATGCGGACCCAAATGACCCTCATTTAGAGAACCAACCTTGTGAAGAATGTACTTTTGATAGGCGCATTTTTGGGATAACCCGCAATGGCGGCCCGGCGTTTTTATGCCCTGCAGTGATGCACCAGTGCTTCCTCCCCTAAACCCTAAACCCTAAACCCTAAACCCTAAACCCTAAACCCTAAACCCTAAA